TCAGCTGCTAGGTAGGGTAGGGAGTCTCGGTTTCCCCATCTGTTAAATGACCTTGCTACAGATAGTGTCCTGCGGTACTCAGAAGAGGCGCCTCTAGATAATCTATGAACACCCACAAAGTTTGGCCTCCTAGGACACTGTCCTCCCAGTGATGATCAGGAAGGGGCAGCTGGTGACCCTCTGCTTGGTTAAGGAAGGACCTGCCACACTCTCTTCACAGAACCTCTTGTGGCTTCTGCCAGCCCACAACATGACAACTTCATCTCTGTCTGCAAGTCAGTACTCTCTGGGCCCTGGAAAACTATACACTGTGCCACATAACAAACATGTATAGGGCTGCCACGGGTCAGTCCCGTGTGTCGTGGTGCCAGGAAAGAGACGGCAGTGCTGACATGAGAAGATGGAACACGACAGGAAGTGGGGAGGGGTGGGAACACCACTATTCATCGACCCGAAGTGTCCCTCTAGCATGGGACACTGTAGTTGAGCCTGGGTAATAGAATCTAGTGGAAGGGACAAAAGAGGAGAGCCACAGGGCATGAATCCAGGGCAGGAGGTAGGAGTGCAGGGCTGTAGCCCTGGGGTGGGGCAGAAACTGTGGCTGAGGCATCTAGGGATCACCCTCACACAGTGGGCCTATCTGAGCAAGCAGAAAACTCTGGGTTGCACCTAGCCACTTTTGCTGCTCCCTCGTGTGACTGGCACTTCTCAGTGCTGAAGCGGAGGCCCTGATCCTGCAGATAGCCCCAGGTCCAGCCAGGTGTGTCCACCAGATTCCTGGCTCTTGAAAGCCCTCAGGCTGGTTGCTGTTTCTGGCCAAAGAGGGCCAGGATCTTGCACCCAAGGCAGCCCACAGGCTAAGAAGGTCACGTTATCCAGAGTCAGGTCACCATTCATCGGGGCAGCAGCTTTCCCAGAGGCCATGGAAGCAATCACAGATTAGCAGCAGCGATGGCAGCTAGCGGCCCGGAAAGAATCTGTGGAAAGCCACTCTGGGGTCCGATGCTCAGAGGCCTTCCTATTAGTCTTTGCAGGGACAAGGGAGAGTGAGGAGGTAGGTGAGATGAAGAGAGGACCGAGGAGAGAGCAATAGAAAGGATGGCAAGCAAGAGAGGTTAGAAAGGGACAGAGATCTAGTGCGTGGGGAGGATGCACTGAGAGGGCGCCCTTGTGTGAGGGGACGGGCGGCCCGGTTACACTCACAGTACCAGGCTGTGGCTGAGCACGGCAGGCCATTGACAAGTCTGCACCAGCACACGCTGTCCACCTTGTTCCTGTCCCTTGGGTGGTCCAATGGTGTACATGGGGGCAAATAGATCTTGAATGGTCATCAAGAGCAACAGAATACCAAGCATGGTTGAAAACTGCTGATACAAGGCTGAGCCCTCTAGTCCTGCATTTGGGGGTGTGGGCAGCAGGCGAGGCCATGCTCAGGTAGGCAGTCAGGGCAGAAGCACAGCAGCAGGTGCAAAGGCCCCGTGCCAGGGAACGGCTGTGAGGGATGCTCCTGGCCTCTCCCAGCATGTGGTGCTGGGATCCGGCAGCGTAGGGCGGGTCCTGAGCTGAGGTGTGGAAAGATGGGTACAAGAAGTTCATGGCTCCTGCAACTTTGCGTGGGACTGACAACTTGGAGGGCCCCGGAAACGGGTGGAGGGTGACAGGGCGTTTTCATTGCCTCCCACCCTCCTCGGGGACCTGCCTGACCCCAGCCATTGACTCCTAGAGCTGGTCCTTTGGGTGCTGGCTGGGGGGAGAGATGGTGGCCATGCCGGCAGAGGAGGCGGCCCTGAATTAATCTGTCACTAAGACTTGGCCATGGCAGGCACAGTCATGATTTAGATGAATAATTGAAACGCTCTGATACATTTATTATCCCTTTAGTGCAAAAGTGGCAGAGAAAGACGAGGGGTAATTGAAAAAGAACGCACAAATCTCCCCGAGAAAGTCAGCTCCTCATTGCCAAGTAAACATCTCAGAGCTAATAAACAGTTGAGGCGCTCAGGCCTTGTTGATCCCCATCCTGATTTAGGACCCGCCTCCCTCCTTACCATACAATAGGAGAGTGTTCGAGACATCTTTTACTGAGCCAATAAGTGGCTTTCCCTGCAGTCCCCCTATCTTGCTAGCCTGCTGAACTCCTATGCAACCTTCAAGGCCCAAGTCCAGCATCCCTTGCTTGAGAGACCTACTTCTAAATTGAGTCATTTGAGGGCAGAGCAGACAATGGGTACCCATAGATCTGCGGTCTGCCCCTCAGCCTGGGGCAAGCTCCCATACACACACACACACACACACACACACACACTCCCCCCACCCCCAGGAGAGCAGAGTGTCTGTTCCACCTGTGCTGGCTGAGCAGAGGCTACAGTGAGGGATCCCCGGAGCTCAGTGTCCTGGGCCCTGGCCCTCACAGGTGACAGAGTGAGTAGAACCCAGTAAGGTACAAGTTTGTTCTGAGGGCCCAGAGCTAGGGACAAAGTGACGCAGCAGGATGCTTGACGGTGTCTGCCGGCTTGTGGTTGAAGGGACAAGGCTCATCCAGGACCATCGTGAACAAAGGACAGATGGGGCAGGTAGAGCCCTGAGCCCTCGCAAGAAGAACTTCAGGCCCCCATGGGAGGATCCAGTGTCTTCCTGGGGTCACGGTTGGTGACGGGGTAACGAATGTATTGTATTTGAAGTGGAGGGGATATGTCCAGGGATCTGGCTTGCTGCATTTCAACTTCAGATGCCAGGCCCCACGGGTCCCTGCTTCACCCCTCCACAGCCCCTGCCCTACACCTCCACCTGTTCCAATCTTATTAGCAGAGTGACAGCCCCAGCTGCAGAGGCTCCATGAATCTTAGCTGCGTTGCAATGAAAGGCTGTACTCCATACCTGTTTCCTCCAGGGTCACTGCCACCCATCTCCTCATCCGTCTGCCTCCCTGCACTCCTAAGGCCAAAAAGGGAGCCAGAGCACCCCATGGTCTAGGGCGGGCACCAGCATACCTGCAATCATCCCTTTGCTCAGCCTGCTCTGCAGGCTACACACAGGGGTGAGTCCCTCCCTTCACGGGAAAGGCTCTCTAGACAGACCCACATCCCAGTGACTCCTTTCCCTCTGAGGGGACAGAAGGCAGTGAAGGCGGTGTTGAAGTCACACCACATGGTAGCAGGAACAAGGGTCTCAGAAAAAACCACCGCAGTAGAGAGCCAGGGTAGACAGCTGTGACCTCGGCCAATAGTCAGGGTGGGTCCCAATGGGAAAACAAGTAAAGACTTGCGAGAGGGAAGGGGCAGACACTTGGTACCCTCAGGAAAAGCATTCCCAGTGGAAGGAACAGTCGTGCAGAGCCCCAAGGCAAGAGAGCCCTGCTCCTGCCCACCGTCAGCACAAAAGCCTGAGGTAGGAGTGGCCCCGCCCAGCGCAAGGAGGAGGTGTGGCTACAGCCTGGTGGGGAAGGCCTAAAGTGCGGGAGTCTGAGAGGAGGTAGGGGCCTCCTGAGGCACTGTGAGGGCCTTAGCTGCGATTCCTACAAGGAGAGGGTTTTCTTCTCTCTCTGTCTCTCTGTCTCTCTCTCTCTTTGGTTTTTCAGGGCAAGGTTTCTCTGTATTGTTTTGGAGCCTGACCTGGAACTAGTTCTTTTGTTTTGTTTTGTTTTGTTTTTTTCAAGACAGGGTTTCTCTGTGGCTTTGGAGGCTGTCCTGGAACTCGCTCTGTAGACCAGGCTGGCCTTGAACCCACAGAGATCCACTTGCCTCTGCCTCCCGAGTGCTGGGATTAAAGGCGCGTGCCACCACTGCCCGGCAAGGTGAGGGTTTTCCACCCACCTCTCCTCACCAGTCCAGGCTCTACCATCCTCCCAAAATCTCCCTGATACCCAAGCTGAGCAGGTGCTTCCGGCTGAGCCCTGATGTACCTGGGACCTCCCACTACTCTGTCATGGCTGGCACTCTCCTATATCTGGGGCTCGGATGGGCGGACATCAGGCCCGACTCCTAAGCAAGATCTGTCCCGTGTCCAGTTCTGTAGGCAATAGATGCTGAGTACTGGGTGTGGGATGGGTATTGTGTGACATGTGACTAGGGCATGGTGTCACCAACCATGGAAGGCCCTGGTCCTCTCAAAGGTCAGGCTTGGGAAGAGGTCCCCAAAGGCCTACCCATGGGCACACAATCCCCATGCTGGGAAGCAGTGACCTCCACAGGGACAGCTAGAGGAGAGTGGGGAGGGAGGAAAAGCATCTCTAGCCACAAACAGCCCCCTGCATCCTGGCTGGTCACCGACAGCTCTTAGCGCTGCGCTTATTTATTCCTGACCCGCGCTGCCCCTTTTATTTTTCCCCCTTTTAAAACCTGGCCTGGGCCCCGCCACCGCTGCCGTAAACACGGCCCCCGGGATTTATCCGACGGCGCATTAACCCATGGCCCCTGGCTCACCAATCATTCTGCCACTGTGCAGACAGTGGCTGCCCAGCAGCTGGGGCTGAGGTGCTGAATGGGTGGTGGGAGGCAGATGTGGGGCCCACCTGCTGCACTGGCCTGCATGCCTTACGGGCTGGCCACCTTGTTCTCCACCAGAGTGGCTTCAGTGTCATGGTGAATGTTACAACAGCACACAGAGGTGTCTTCTACATCCCCTGTCACTCCCCATTCCTCACCTGTGCAGACATGAAATACTGCCTGGCAGAGATGCCTGGGAGCTTTCGGTGCAGAAATGGATAACGTACGAGATTTCAGAGTGGAGAAACTGAGGACAGTTAGAAAGGAACTTCCAAAGGCCAAGTGGGTGTCAGGCATAGAGTGAGGCTCTGTCTACCACCCTGCAGACCCCCTCTCTACAAGCCAGGTGGCTTAAGTTCAGAAGGTGGTCACCCAAACAGAGAGCCAGGCTCCCAGCTTTATCAGTAGGCACATCAGGGGCCTGGATGAAACAGTAGGATCTTGAAGGATGAAACAGGAGACACACACCCACCCTCATCCCACCCTGACCGAGACTCAGAAGGTCTGTGTACATACCTCCTCCGCCTCCAAGCAGGGAGTTGTTGGCTGCAAGACAGAGAAAGACAAAAGCACGTAAGTGTGGGAAGGGTTGAGGAAGGGACTGTGTGGGGCAGAGGGACAATCAGGGACACTGGGAACAGGGAGCCTGGGTCCTGAGACTGCGCATAGGGGTTCCCAGCCCTTGTGCAAGAGCCAATGATGGGGGTTTGGGAAGCCCCCAATAGGTCTGGGCTTGTAGGGGGACCAGGGAGTGGGGGCACAGGAAGGTCACCAAGGCCACCTGGTGACCCAGAAGTAGCCGTGCACAGGGTTATGCATTTGCAGGTCAGGGGACAACTAGCAGGAGCTGGTTCTCTTTCCACATTTGATCCCACAGGTACAAATTCACGTTGTCAGACTTGGCAGCAGATGCCTTTATCCACAAAGCCATCTCGAGGCCCCAGACAGGCACTGTGTAGCAAAGGATGTCCTGCTCCCACCTTGCAAGTATGCCCTGCCATGCCTGGCTGCCCCGAGTTCTCTGCTTGTTCTCCTTTACTCGACACTGGCTCCTGAGACCCAGCACTGCCCAGCCTCCAGCATAGGTATGGGGACGCCAGGACTATTGTGGGATATTATTTTAACTAGACAAAGATGTGTTACACTTGTTTATGCTGCAGAATATTACTTTAACTATGTAAAGGTGTGTTACATTTGTTTACACTGTATTTGTTTAACAACACAAGGATGTGTTACATTTGTTCTATCTGCCTGCCTAAGGCACCTGATTGGTCTAATAAAAGGTGACTGGTCAATAGCTAAACGGCAGGAGAAAGGATAGGTGGAGATGGCAGACAGAAGAAATAAAAGGAGAAATCTAGACTCAAAAAGAATGAGGAGGAACAAGAGGAAAAGGAGGAGAAAACAAGGGACACAGCCGGGGCAAGAAGCCAGGCCAACTCCAGCCAGCCAAACAGAGAAACAGGGAAAGAGACACAGAAACAGCTGGGCGGCGGTGGCGCATGGCCTTAACCCCAGCACTCAGGAGGCAGAGGCAGGCGGATCCAGTGAGTTTGAGTCCAGCCTGCTTTACAAAAGAGTTTCAAGACAGCCTGGACTGTTACATAGAGAAGCCCTGTCTTGAAAAACCACTGAAAGAGGGGGAGATATACAGAAATAAGGAACGTAAAAGGTAAAAAGGCCAGGCAGTAGTAGCACATGCCTTTAAAAAAAATAAAGAAGGAGGACTGTTTCAGAGAAACCCTGTCTCAAAAAAACAAAACAAAAAAATCCCCAAGGCAAAAAGGTAAAGATAAACAGGTTATTATAACATCCCTAAGCTAGCCCGAGCATTCAAAACTAATAATGTCTCTGTGTCTTGATTTGGGAGCTGATACACAGGACAGCATGGTCCTTATTCTCATGACCCACAAGCTGCCTAGTAACAAAATTGCCTCCCTTGAGAGGCAAAGATAGATGGATCTCTGTGAGTTCGAGGCTAGCCTGATCTATATAGTGAGTTCCAGGACAGTGAGAACTATGTAGAGAAACCCTGCCTCAAAAAACAAAAGAGAAGGAGCTTCACCAGGGCAGGGCTAAGTGCTACTAGGGAGCTAGCAGGAGGCCTCAGAGCATGGAGCACCTGATGGAGGGAAAGCCATGCTATGGACCATGTCAGGCCTGAGCACTGGTGAGTGGTGCCACCTGGCTCCAGGCCTCAGTTTCTCATGGAAAATGAGAAGACCCCAACTTCCATGGTTGGGGTGATGGTCAGGAGAAAGAGGTCAGCTGGGGCCCTGCTATAGGAAGACTGCCTGCTTCCTGTCTGGCCTGGAGGGGGCCCCTCAGGCAGAGTCGTCCTGGCTGCCACCACTTTCCAGATTATATCTTGCTCTGCCCAGCTGGCTGCCCTTCCTACCATACCATGTAGCCATGTGGCTGATGTACAGTATAGGTAAGAGAGATTGGCAGCCTCTCTGCCAAACGCCAGGGCTGTGCTGGTCAGTGCCCCTGCTCAGCCTGGGGTCCTCTTTTGGCTACAAGCCCTGTATCCAGAAGGTTCCAATGCCAACCAGACAAAGAGCTAGGGGAGGTCACCGGTCCCTGAAGACCCAGTTGCTGCCCAGAGGGCCTGGGTTGCAGGCACCTGGCTTCCAGGCCCAGTTCCTTGCAGGGCTGAATCTTACCCCTCCTTCCAGAGCTTTCTGCTTTAGGGTTAGGGGCCAGACTGTGGCCCAGGGCTCTGTGCAAAAGCTAAGGATGTTGCTAAGTGGTGTCCGGTGGCTTGCAGTGGCTGGTTTCCCAGACCTCACAGCTCTTCGCTTGGGGAATAATTAATTCCACAGCCTGAAAATGCAGGGCTGCAAGTTGCCATGTTACTTTCAAGATTAATACAAGCAGCTAATTAAGATGGAGAGGCGAAGAGCGGCCGGGCGCTCCTAGAACCAAGAGGGGACCATGGGGATGAAGAAGGAGCCAGCTGAGCATGTAGACAAGGTAGCTGGAGATGCTATAGGGTAAGGGCTGAGGTCAGCTTCTAAGGGGACCCAAGGAGGAAGGGGCAGCGTGTAGAGGTCCCATTCTGGTCCCCAGAAGCTCTCCAGGACACGGTTCTATGGAAGGAGCAGATCCTTAGCAAGAGACAGGTGGCCGCTCTCACGAGTGACCCCATTTTTCATCACAGCAAAGCTATCGGGGAGAGGCTCCTGCTCCCATTTTACAGAGAATGAAACTGAGTTCAGAGAGAGAGAGAGGGAGAGAGAGGGAGAGAGATTGGGACAGTACAGGTATGGGCTGGGGTACAGTGGCAGCTGGGGATATAGCTCATTTCAAGGGCTTGTGCATGCAGGAAGCCCTGGGTTAGATTTCCAGCATGGTATATACTAGATATGGTAGCTGATGCCTGTGGTCACTGTTAACACTCTGGGAGGTGGAGGCAGGAGGATCAGAAGTTCTAGGTCATCTTCATTACATAAACCAACCTGGGCTATGGGAGACCTTGGCTCAAAAGAAATAACAACTAAATCTAGGGGGGCTGGAGAGATGGCTCAGAGGTTAAGAGCACTGGCTACTCTTCCAAAGGTCCTGAGTTCAATTCCCAGCAACCACATAGTGGCTCACAACCATCTGTGATGAGATCTGGTGCCCTCTTCTGATGTGCAATCATGCATGCAGGCAGAGCATTGTATACATAATAAATGAATAAATCTTTTTTTTTGTTTTTTTTTTTGTTTTTACGAGACAGGGTTTCTCTGTATTGTTTTGGAGGCTGTCGGTCCAGCCCAGCCTCGAACTCACAAAGATATGCCTGCCTCTGCCTCCCGAGTGCTGGGATTAAAGGCGTGCGCCACCACCACCCGGCAATGAATAAATCTTAAAAAAAATAAAAAGACTAAATCTGGTTGTCTCTGAACTCGAAGGCAGGCCACCAAGAGGAGTGGTTATGTCCCACCCCATGCCTACTTTCTCAAAGCAGAGAGGAGCACTCTGGAGGCTCTGTTACCTCAGTCAGCCTCTAGTGCTCCACGCCCAGCAGGCTTGGCTGCAGACATGAGGGGCTGTATTCCTAGCAGGACTGTATGGGAACCAGCAGTTTTGAGCACTAGGCACGTCAGGTGGCCCAAGCCTGACTCCAGCCCCCTGAGCCCCTGGGGCAGTACTGGTCTGTCGGAAGCTGCCCTTCCCACCTCCCCCCATCACCTCTCTCTTAATTAACACCGGCTGCAAACAAGCTGGCTCCTGCTCAAAGAGGGCACAGTGCCAAATGGGTTGGCAGGGAGCCTTGCTGGGGCAGGAGAGGAGGGGCAGAGACCTGGACTGGGCGCAGCAGACCCCAGGCAGAGAGAATGTCAACCCCACCAACCCAGCACTCCAAACCCCCCACTCTGTGTGGTCTTGCCCCTGGAGAGAGGCAAAAGGGATGAATGGCTGATGCCCACCCAGCTAGGGTCTGAGAGAGGAACACGCTGGGACAGGCCCAATGTTGAAAGGGTAGGTGAAGACTGGGCACCTTCTTGGCCTGGGCGGAGGACCTGTGAGCAGCCAACCTGCCCACACAAAAGTAGTTTTTGTCTATCATTTTCTTTTTAAGGCAGGGTCTCATAGTCCAGGCTGGCCCCAAACTTACCATGTAGCTAAGGATGACCTTGAACTTGGATTCTCTTGTCTATCGCTGGAGATTTGGTATTACAGGCATGAACCACCATGTTTAGTGTATTCTATGCTAGAGGGGGAACCCAGGGCTTTGGGCATGTTAGGGAGCAATTTGGCAACTGGTTGACACCCTTAGATCTCTGTTTATCTTAGAGAGATAAACACAATGTTGCCCAATCTGCCAGAACTCCCAGTTCAGGCAATCCTCCCTGCCTCAGAGGCCAACAGCTGGGAATACAGGCACGTGCCACAGTACCCGGCTTTTACCTTCTTTTTATTTTGTTTATTTATTTTGGTTTTTCAAGACAGCGTTTCCCTGTGTAGCCCTGGCTGTGCTGTAGACCAGGTTGGCTTTGAGCTCAGACCTGCTTCTGCCTGCCAAGTGCTAGGATTAAAGGCTTGTGCTACCATGCCCAGCTTAAACAAGGGTCTGTGTAGTGCAGGAGGGGCTGCAGCTGGCCCAGCTCTGGGGGCATGTAAGTTCTAGATCCGAGGGTGCAGGTTTGAGACCAGTGTACACACATTCGGCTGTGAGGACTGCTCTAGGGTGCTGCTTGTCACCAGCACAGCAGAGGAACTGCTCTCTTCACACTCCACCGGACTTAACAGCTGGCTTTCAGCCCTGTGACCTTGAAGTACGCCCTCAGTTCACTCCCTGCCAAGTTCTCTGACCTCCGAAAGCTGAGATTTGGGGGTGCCTCACTCCAAGCCTCCCGTGTGCTCTGTGGGTTCTCTCTCTGCCCTGCCTGCTGCCTTCACCCCCAGCTCAGGTACCCCACCTCCTCCCTTCCCCCTGTGCTACCGCTGCCATCCCTGCGGGGGGCAGAGCAGGGACTCCCCAGTTGTGCCCAGGCTCTTGGCCTAGTTAGGTTCTGGCAGGTGTCCACTGCCCAGTGAGAGGGAGACGAGCCCGG